AATTAAGTATTTCTTATAAAAACTGAATAAATTAGCAGGAAGATTGCATCAGAGTTTGTTTGCAGTCTACAAAGACCAGAACAGCACATAAAAAGTAGAACTGAGTATGTGTAGAGCACTCGGACTGCTACATACAAGCTGAGAGGTGCTAGAAATCTATAGGGGCTACATAATAACCTTCAGAACAACGTTTAAGACAAATTAATGAGACATCCTCTTTATGCACCTGGATAGAAAACACTTTATGTATGCATGGGAGCAATACTTACAGGTGTTTACACTTCTATTTACTTCTGCCTAGTCCTGAACTTGAAGGTGAAACTGAATTATTTGCTAGAAAATTACCATATGTACTGCTAATAATAAATAAGAATCAGTGTGTAACTATTAACTTTAATTAGAAGTTATTTATAAGGACAGTATTTCAGTCACATTTCTTTCTGCCATGTCATTTTTGTGTGAATTATCACAAAACTCAATTTCTGGCATATTCTGATTTTGCCACAGAGTGAAGTAAAATCAACTGAAATTGCCCATTCTTCTCCAAGAAAAGTTCAAGCAAAGCATTCTGCTCTTCCTGCTGAAGCCAGGCCTCATGTTTGCTATATTAATTGGAAATATGCAATTTGGATTCCGATCCAATGAGTGAAGCCATGGTAATGAGTCTTACAGACACGCTGGGGTGCACTGAAGCACTGACCCACAACAGTAACAGATAGATGTATTAAAACCCTTTATGTACTTTCTATTCAAGCACAGGCCAGCTGCTATCAGCTCTTTCATTGCCACCTCTTGCCAGGCTGTACATGTTTGACCTCTCCTGGAGCTGGAGTCTGCTGTACGTTCAGTCATTAATTTGACAGGCTAAGGACATGTCCAAACCATTTACTTTCTTGCTTTCTAATAGTATAATAGACACCCTGCTGTTACATTCTTGAAACAAACTTAACTTTCAGGGCAATTTTTACCGAGTTCAAAAATTGCACTATTTCCTTGAACACTGCCAAGAAACACAAAGAACTTTTTTTTTTCCCTAGCTATAGTCACTGTTCAATCAATTCCACTATTTAGAGATTTACTGAACTGATATCATCTTGCTACACTATAGATTCTATTGCTGCCTAAAACTTTCAGAGGAGGTTCTTAACTCAGGCTTCAGTTTAGCAAGAGCTTAGTTTGAATTGATAATGACTGAGGTAGGTCATCAAGCAGAAAAGCAAAAGAATGAAATTCTATTTCTCAGCACTATTGTCTTTCTGTATGACGGTCTTGGGCAAAACAAGTATCTGAACATATAAATAGCTTTTCCATATGTAAAATGGCAACGTCAATTCTTTAAGACATGTTCTAAGCATGTGAAACTGTGCTACTTAGAGTAGTACTTAAGAGTTACACATTACTGAAATTGTGGCCCAAAACACTAATTTTTAGTGGATCTGAAGACTTATCAAATATCTAGAGGCTGACAGATGCAAAGAGAAACTCCTCCCAGGGTGACTTGGGCTACTCAGTGGAGCTTCCCTGCTCGCAGTCCACAATCCTGGCCTAAGTGAGATGCATTCTTGGGACGGACCCTATATAAAGCCTACAGATACTTTATTCCCCAGGTCAACACACACCTTTGTGAAAAGCTACTTTTTATCTATATCACTTCCTGTTTCTTTTCTGCTGTAACAGGGGTGTATCCAAAAGCAGATCTAAAGTTGAGATGGTTCAGGGGATGACAGCCAGAACAAAGTTCAGATCAGCTGGCCCCAGGGTACGGGGAGGGAGGGGACAGGAGGAAGAGACAGTAACTGTGGTTTATGTGGGAGCAGTGCCTCTCTCCAACAATAACCACTACCATTGCACAGCTGCAAAATAACATGTTATGTTTACCTTCTCCTTTAGATTGCCCCTTCCCCCTGTTACCTGCATCCTCTGCCCCGGTTTTATGGATACATACAGCCCTCTGCAGGGCCATGGTCTCCTACAGAATTATTTTTGAGAAACAAACTAAGTCTTACCTTGGGAATAAGTATGGCCATGGCTCGGGCACCGACAACTAGTTAAAATGTTAAAAAAACAAGAGGTATGATTAAAAAGGGAAAACTGAAGCAGAAAACCAAAGCTTTACGTCCTAAAAGTAAGCACCCATTCCAAGGGCCTGCAGCTGAGCCCGGCGGTGCGCAGCGGGGGCGAGCACGGTGAAGGGGGGGAGTTCGCAGGGGCGGAGCGGCCGCCGCTTTTCGCTTTCCAGCACGGAAAAAGCTGGAAATGTTCCCCCGGCCCGCCGCCGGCCCCGGGAAGGACCCCTGCACTCACGCTGCCCGCTCCAGCTGCCGCAGCAGGCGGGACACCCGCGCCCGCCCCGCCGCCATCGCCCGGATCTGGGCACGGCAGGGACGGGGCCGGGATGGGGCCCGGCACGGGGCCGGGGCCGGGGCCGGGGCCGGGGCCGGGGCAGCGCCTCCTCCCGGGACAGCGCCGCTGCCCGGCCCCGCACCCGGCACACGGGTCACCCAAACGGGGATCGCACCCCTGAGGCCACAAGTGTCCGCAGTCAGCACCCCCAGCCCACGGTTCTACATCATCAAAACACAACTCACGCCTGTTTTAAGGCAAGCAAAATCTGGTTGCTAAATTATACAGCACAGAATGCCAATGAAGACCGACTGAAATCTAATTAGGACTAGCCTGTGTTGCATATTTGTCACAGAAAAATACTGAAAGTAATAGAATTGCGAAGTGAAAATAACAAAAATTCCCCATGAAATTAAGTGAAACAGTTTTCTGACTCTTCAGTTGTGCCCAGTGACAGGACAAGGAGGAATGGTCCTAGACTAAGACACAAGAAGCTTCACCTCAGCATGAGGAATTTCTTCACAATGAGGGTGACAGAGCACTGGAACAGCTGCCCACGGAGCTTGTGGAGTCTCCCTCTCTGGAGACATTCAAAACCCACCCGGACGTGTTCCTGTGTCACCTGCTCTAGGTGACCCTGCCTTAGCAGGGGGCTTGGATGAGATGATCTCCAGAGGTCCCTTCCAACCATAATAATTCTGTAACTCTATGAAACCACAGTTAATTACAGTGCAGGATGGATCAAAATTTTATAACCAAATTTTTAAGCTGTAAACTGCCAGCAGAGTAGAGTATACCAGTATTAAGCAAAGGAAACATTGGATTCTGACAAAAAAAGCATCATTTTTCTATTTTAACAGAATTATTTTGCCTTTGCATGCTCTTTATGTCTTACTAGATGATCTTTAAGGTCCCTTCCAACCCACACCATTCAACGATTCTGAGCAGATCAGATAAGCCTAAAACTCACGATTTTGCAGGTGCTGAGCTTGGGACAGCAGGTTAGTGGCCTGCTCAGGCCCCCACATGAAGCTGCAAAACCTTTATCCACTTGTGAGAGTCAGAAAGTGGCAACACCATAAGAGCACCTGCACCTCTGCTCAGGTGACCACTTTGCTACTGGAGATGAACATATTTTATGGGATATTGGTGGAGAAAATTGACCAGTAGCCTTGTGAGCAGCACAGAATTCTCATCAGCTGTGTATATGTACCGGAAAAGAGCCCTTCTCTCTGGCTGAGCATGTACAATAAATGCTATATGGAAATGCCTGGAAGATCAGAGGTCTGAAAGGTCTGTGAAAACCTTTTCCCTCTGTCCAAGTGTTTGTTGCTCCAGCTTTGCCTCGATACTTACACTGAAGGGTTCATAACAGAGGGTTGTGCCCACAAGACCATTCCTGCCACTGACAAGCCCAAAGCAGCCTGCAGTGCTGCAGACTGCTCAGCACACGGCCAAGAAGCATCAGAGAGGGGCCGAGAATACACCTTGTGCAAGGCCATAGGTTGGGCACTGGTCAGTCTATCAATGTCTTCCAACCTCCAAGGTGTACTTACCCCTTCTGCCCTCAGCAGCTCCCCTACATAAAAGTTTTGCTTTCTGATGCTTTTTACTGAGGTTGCCATCCCATCTGAAGTGCTACAGAAAAAGACAAGAGAACTGCTAAAGTCACCCAGCTTTTTCAAAAACCCACTTGCAATGAGGCATTACAATATCATTAACCACTCGAAAACCTCAAAGTTTGAAAACCTAATTTAATTGAGAATACTGAAACTTTACTAACTTTCTTATCAGGCAATAGCATCTTCCCTGTAGCTAAGCCACACACTGCGATAGCAAATTCTTTTTTTTCTATTCCAAGTGTACATGTGACACTACAAAATTCAAAAGAATAATGGGAAGAAGTCTGAGAGAATTTCTACTACCTGCTATCAAACTACTAAGTAGACACTGTGAGATTATGTCTATAAAATGATGGATTATTGTTACTACAGGGAGAAATTTGGGTTTTAACCTGTACAATACAAACGTTTTTCTGCTGAACTCAATGGCTGGTCAGCAGCTTTGACTTCCTTTTTTGATCAAAAAAAAATTCCCTAGAAAATCTGTACAATTTCTTAGGCCCTGCAGTAAATCTTAAGAGTAAGTTTCCATGTTTGTGACTGAACCTGAATACCACAGAGCTGAGAGGCAGAAGTTGACTTACAGAGCAAGAGCTCCACCGTCAGGCCACTTGCCCAAGGCAGAGAGCAGCAGCCACATCCTTCAACTGGATGCTGCTACTCCATCAAAACTCCAGGTCACGTCTGCGGTCCACTCCCAGCTACCCGAAAACGGGACAGCTTTGCTCAGCTTTTGTCCTGGCAGAAGTTCTGCAAGCCAACCGTGAAGCAACATTACCTGTGAAACAAAGTCACTGTGAAACACCCAGCTCGGGGGGAACAGGGGCTCCCTTCACAGGACACCGATTTCCCTTGGACGGAGAACACAGTCCTCCTTGTCTACCAGCTAAAAGCCAAACGCAGGATGTTTTAGAGAGGTCAGAACGCATTTATTGACAGATACGTGTGTGAATAGAGCACCGGGCAGGAGGCTGGCAGCGACAGTCCCATCCCACGCCTCGGTGGGCATCCCCAGCCCGTGCTGCACACTGTCCCTCACGCCTTCTTTCTCCTGCCCCCGCCGCTGCCACCTCCCGCAGGCTTCTGCTGCTGGGGCTGCCGCCGGGCTCCGCTCTTCTTGCCGCTGCGCCCGGGCCGCTGCTGCCGGCGGCCGCGCTTGCCCCGCTTTGACTGCTTCTTGCCCTTGTTGGCGGCGGCCGCCTCGGCTTCCTCCTGCCGCATCTGCTTGTTGACGGCGCGGGTGATGTCGAGCACCGGCTTCTTGCTGCCCATGTCCCGCAGCAGCTCCAGCTGCCGGCTGCGCTCGGCCGCCAGGTTGCCCAGTAGCGGCTCGAAGCGGCGCTTCTTGCCGCCGCTGCGGGAAGGCGGCTCCGCCGACTCCTTCGGCAGGCGCGGCTGGAAGCGGCCGAGCGAGGCGGTGGAAACGCGGGCCACGCGGGCCACCCGGCGCAGCTCGTCGCGGTCCTGGTGGCCGGTGGGGTGCAGCGGCGCGGCGGGCACGGCGCTCCCGGCGCGGTGGGCTCGGGCCAGGTTGCGCAGCCGGTTCAGCTCGTTGCGTGCCACCCGCTCCCGCTTCTCCCGCCGCAGCCGAGCGAACTGGTCCTCGTCGGGGTCAGCGCCCGCCGGCACCTCTGCCAGCCAGGCGCGGGACGGGTCTCCGCCCGCCCGCCGGTAGCCCCAGCGCCGCCGCCACTCCTTGGCCTGCTCGTCCCACACCAGCGAGGTTTTCTTCTTGCGGCGGATGCCCTTCAGCCGCGCGAACTGCTCCCAGCGCGTCGGCGGCCGCGGCTTCGGCGGCGGCTTCTCCCGCGGCAGGCGGAACGTGGGCTCGGGCAGCTGCGCCACCAGCGGGCCCCCGGCACCGCCGGCGCGCTCGGCCGGTAGCTCCCAGAGCCGAGACACGAGCAGCTGCGTGTTGTCGCGGGCCAGCGCCTGCAGCAGTGCCTCCCGCCGCGGGCCGGCCCCGCGCAGCGCCGCCGCCGGCGGGGGGTTGCGGTCCACCGCCAGCAAATTGCCCAGGTCGTACTCCAGCTCCAGCTCCTTTTCCACCGTGATGCTCCGCCGCTTCTCCGCCTCCTGCTCCTCGGCGGCCGCCAGCACCGCCTCCACCCGTACGGCCGCCATGGCGGCGACTCCACGTGCAAGCGGCGCCGCCGCTACCCTGGGAGTGCGGCAAAGCTCCGCCGGGTCAGCACGCCGGAAGCGCCGTGCCCGGAAGCGCCCTGCCCTCGGGGCGAGACGGGCGCAGTGCCCGCCGGGAGATGTAGTCCCGTCGCGCCGGCCCGCTAGAGGGAGCCGTGGATCCCACAGACCCGCCCGAGTCCGCGGCCGCCGCTGCGGTGTCACCGCGCCTCGGCCGGGACAGCCTGGGTCTGCCGGGGGACCCGCCGCCGTGGCTTAGGGGCATGCTCTTCCAGTCACGGAATCACAGAATCACAGAATCAATTAGGCTGGTAAAACTCTCCGAGGACATCAAGTCCAAACTGTGACCAAACATCACCATGTCAATTAGACCAGGGCACTGAGTGCCACCTCCAGACTTTCATTGGAAACCTTAAGGGACAATGACTCCACCACCTCCCTGGGCAGCCCATTCCATTTTTTTCTGTAAAGAAATTCTTTCTAATACTCAACCTGAACCACCCCTTGTGGAGTTTAAGATTATATCCTCTTGTCCTGTCGCTGGTTGCCTGGCATAAGAGGCCAAACCATTCCTGGTTACAACCTCCTTTCACCTAGTTATGGAGAAGGATAAGATTACCCCTGAGCTTCTTCTTCTCCAGGCAAAACAACCCCGGTTCCCTTGGCCGCTCCTCATGGGACTTCTTCCCCTTCTGGACCCTTCACCTGTAATACTGATGGTCACCCATGATACTGGTGTGATCCCCAGTGAATCCCAGGCTGGGGTTGTGTGGGGTTCAGGGTGTCCCCAAATCTGTCTCCTGCTGTCACCATGAGTGGTGCTGAGGTGGAAAATATGTGGGAAGAGTCAGCAACATGAGGGGAGGCAAATGCCAAAAGCAGAGAGGTAGGACCGTCATAGAATCAACAGGGCCCTGTGGCTTCCCTTGCCTTTGCCTGCACTCAGGATGTGCCATGGCATGCAAAAACTGAGGCTGTGACACAGGAACATACTTTTCCTGTGCTTTTTTTTTTTTATTTTTTTTTTTTATTTTTTATTTTTATTTTTATTTTTATTTTTTGGTGTGTGTGGTTTTATTTATTTTGTTTTTTGGTTTTTTTTAAATGATTTTTTTAAAAGCATATGATTCTTTCTGATGCTCTTTGCTGTAGAACAGTCCCACTAAGTGCTCCTCGCAGGATCAAAATTCAAGTGCTGCATTGCAACTCCACCGAGACTGACACAGGTGTTGTGGGTAAATCTCCCTGCAGAGAAGGGAGGGGAGGAACAGCATTTGGGAAGCAGTGTCATTTGGCAGATGTCTCAACAGACATAATTATAAGTGAGGTGATTGGGGCGATGTGGTGTGCTCCTAAAGGTCAGCTGGGTCAGAGATACCTCCATGCTATTTTTAAACAAATGGGCTACAGAAGAATCCTTTTATAGCTCTACAGTGATTTGGCTTGTGTGACCATGATATTTTGAGCTGATCCCTGGTGCCCTAAAAACAAGCTTATGATAGCACTTAGCTGTAGTGGAGGGAAATTATGTGTGTTTTTATACAAGGTACAGTTCTCTTCTAAGTTATTATCCCATCTTTACTTTTACATTCCTTTTGGAGTGATGGAAATGATTGAGTGTAATGCCACAGCAGTATTGTTGAAATAAAAAAAATCCGTGTTTGAAGGTGAGGACAAATAGCTGATTCTCAAATTCTAATGGCTAGCATAACACAAATTACCCACAGGCTAATCAGGAAATTTTTTTTCCCCAAGTCAGGCGTTTTGAGTATGATTTGTGTACTAAGGAGCAACAGAATCCCTATGTATTTAAATCCAAGCTGGTTAGCATGGACTATTTTCTTGTTTACCACAAGATGGCAATGGATAATATTTTGTACCCTGTCTTAGAAGGCTCATACTTTCACTTGGAATTTGCAGATAAAATTAATTTAAAAGACAATTCTTTGAAGAGGTGCATAGGCACTCTCCAGATTTAGGCATAAATTTAAACTTTTGAACTTCAAGGTCCATTGTTTTGGCAGTTTATCCTATGCAGCAAACTCTCAGAGTTCTTTTGGTCTGTATTTGTACAAAGTCCAGAATGCTTCAGGTAGATGTCTTGGGCTAAGAGGACATAATTGGTACTATCTAGTGCACTTCCAAAGTTGCTTGAACTGTTAATTATTACCACTGGAATAGCAGAAGGAGTGCATGCCAGGAATGTATCTTCTTGTTTTACCTGAAAACATGTAGAGGAATCTCAGAAAGTAAAAATTGCTTTCTGGAAGCTGCTGTGTTGGTCTGAATCCCAGCCTTTTTATGTATCCCAGGAATCTGCACCTCAGAGTGCGACCCTGCTTTTGGTGTTTTCAGTTTTTGATTTCATAGTGTGGTTGGGAAGGTGGTAGTTGGAAGACTACTGTAAAAGATTTGTAAACAGAGATTTATTTGTAAATAGTCGTGAATATTTTGGGAAACTGTCCCATTCTGAGGAGGGGCTTCTGAGCTTCCTGTACTAATCATAGCCATACTTTGAGCTTGTACTCCCAGTTTAGAGCTGGGGATTACAACCAGGTACATGGCTTCTGTAAAGGGAATAGATGTGTTTGTACTTCTGGAAATCTGGGCTTTCCAAAAGATGAAAGGGTAATACCAAGGTTCAGTTATAGAAACAGCTTTTAGGAAATGAATATTTTTATTATCTCATGTTTAATTCAGCTTTTAAAAAGACTTTCCCATCAAATTTTAAAAGAATGAATTTTTAGAAGTGTTTATTCATTTTGATCGTCTCTGTTCTGGGTTTCCTGTGTTCCTTTCGGCATATCTAATATCACATTTCACAGAATGCCTGTAGGTTGTGCTCAGCTATAGGGCCTGACAACAGCTAACTGTGGGCACTTACAACCCATAGATAATGAAACAATTTCATCATTGCTCTCCTTTTCCCTGAGATACTTTACCTCTTCAGGCTGAACATAGCAATACATGTCACAGTATGTGCATATATGTGCTTAATACTGTACTGTTTGCTTGCTTTCTTTACTGGAAGGTGACCAGACAGAGCTTGAATGCTCTTGCAAAGTGCAGTTTTTCTTTAGGGTGAAGAAGGCTGTAGAGTTTTGGGTCTTTTTTAAAAATATATTTATTTTTATTTTTAGCTTTTTTTAAAATTTTAACCACACGAAAAATTTAGCTGCATGAGAAGCATAAGATGGCAGAGTATAATTTGCAGAAACACTTGTCCAAAAGATTATTTGAAAGCATAATGCAGGATATATGTGATGCACCAAAAAAACCTACAACATCAACGTGATATACTGTCAGGTTTGTTTTTCTTGTGAGAAAGAATAAAGGATTATTCTACTTAACTTGTATTTTTGTAGTTTCTATTCAGCTGGGCTGCAGCTTGAATTTTGTGTTTGATAGGAGCTGCTCTAATGTACAGGATTCATGTCTCACTGTTAGTGATACCATTAACTTAGATTTACTCTTCAAACTTTTGCCAATTACCTCTGGATGGCAGTAGATGTAGTTACAAGATGATTCAATCAATTCATAAGCCTGCTGTGAGGATTGTTATGAAGAACACTTTTATCAGGCAAACTCAAAGTGCTGATAATTTTGGAAAATAGTAGAAAGTGCCCTTAAAATATCCACACTCTCCCCGAATCATTCCCTTCCACTGACTTTATTCAGTACATTCTGAAATAAAAATCTGTGCTGTAGGATTCTTTTTTGTATAAGGAAGGAGTTGTTTGTTCACTGAAGCTATATTAAGTAGAACAATTTATGGACCCGATTCTGCTTCCTGATACATTTTTTTTACCCCTGTAAGGTTCATTTCATGTATGTTATGTATCAGCATGTATCCTGTCTCATGCGACATAGAAGTGCTTTTCCAGTCCAAATAACAAAACACAAAAAGAATGCAAATTTTGCTAAACAAAAACTCTTTCCTAGTTGCTAGTCCATAAAATGTGAAAAAAACTGTAAGGCAAAGATTTAGGGCACTATCTTTTATAAAATGTGTGAGTTGACTTCAGCAGTGTAACAAAAATACATCTGGTAATCAGAGCTTTTCCTGTTACAAGAGCTATTCCTATTACTCAGTACAGATAATGAGGCATTCCTTTTCATGGTTTCACCACTGTAAGGCCTTACTAGGAGCCTCATAGGGGACATGGTTAATTCTAAGCAAGTTGTATTGATGGTGATGATATTCTCTGTGCTCACACACTGCAAAACATTTCTGGTTTGTTTGTAAATGAGCAGATTTAAATTTCCTGTCCAAAGATTTTATGTGATTATAGCAGAATGCTGTGAAAAAAAAATGAAAGATTTATGAAAAAAGCATGCAGATGAAACTCAGGAAACTGTAGCTCTTGTTCCAAAATCTAAGGCTAGGTGGTTTGGAATGCAGTTACAAGTGGATAACTAAGCAGAGCCTGATCTTTGGTGCAGAAGCCAGGACACAGATAGCTGGTGAGATAGCAGGGAGATTTGGATGACTGCAGGCGCTGTGGAAAGTCATGGGTAGACCAGAATCTATTTTCATCATTTGACTGATTGTGACTCTGTGGTTTCACTGAACTGATTTTGGGTAAACAAAACAAAGCTAAGCTAATTTGAGGCCTTCCCAAGTGCTTGATGCCTATCTTGCTATGCATTAGGGAATCAGACTGAGAACAGATTGTGATGTGGTTTGCTTTTTTTATGAGCTTAACTGTGACCTGATTTTTGTTTGAGAAAGTTTTCTTGTAGCACAGTCTTAATATTAGAAATACCAGCAGTGGTGTGGCTTGGTTTTGTTGGGTGTTTTTTAGGATCATTTAAAGAAATGAGAACTTTCAGGCAGTGATGGAAAGAATGGCAACATAGTAACACATTCCTGTTCCAGGGTCAGTCCTTCTTATCATCTGTCTAGAGTAGACCTACTTTTTGGCATAAGATTACTTCTGCAAGTTAAAAAAAGCCAATGAACACATTTCCTTCTTTTAGAA